AATAGAGAACCTTTTTTTCATCTGAACCTTTTCTGAGTTATTCTTGCTAATTAACGAATTTGTTTTTTTTAATTAAATATTTAAGTCTATTAATTATTGTCTTGAGAATATAATCTATAGGATAGTCATTGTCTGTTAAAATTTTAATTATAAACGTCAAATTTTTTTCATGAAATTCTGGATATGAAAGAAGAAACATTCTGTCAACTAAACTTAAAATTGTGCCCTTCTTCTGAGATGCTGGAAATTGATAACTCTCCCAGAAAAAGTAGGTTTTTGAAACCAATCAATTTTTAGAAAACCTTCAACCATAATCGAAGTGACATCCAAAAAATTAATTTTATTTCTTCCTTTTTTTATAGTGAATCTGGGATGGTATAAATAGTTGTAATATTTTATTGGATTCAGATGCAAACAAGGATATCATCTAAAAAAGAAGAGAATATGAAAGTTCAATTTTTTAAGTGTCTAATTCTCCAATTCTTGCATCATCAAATCAGCTGCTATTGGTGATAATGGAGAAATGGGAGTGCCAAATTTTTGTTTATAAAGTAGATCATTAAAAAAGAAATAACTCGAATCTAACACTAATTTTACTGCTCCCAAGAATTCTTTTTTAGGAAGTTTGCAATTTTTTGAAATTAAATCCCATCTTTTATCAAGAATTGCAATAACTAAAGTAATCAGGATGTTAGTAAATAAAGCTATAACGTATAATGAAATCAGACAATAATCTTCGTTTGACAATAATCTTGATATTTTAATTTTATTCACAAGTTCAAAACTGTTATTAATAAATTAATAAAACTTGGAGCCTTGTGAACTTCTGATGATCAATTCGTGGAGAAAAGAAGCTAAATTATACAGAGAGAAACTAAATTATACTATTAATAGATGAAATGATGATGCGAAACAATCCTGTTTGTGCACTTTAAGTAAAGCATAAACCTTAGGTAGAATTCCATCACTGCAGTAGAGATTTTTATATGTATTTTGTGAAATAAATTCAAGTTTTTTTCTATCTCGTAAGCAAATTTTTTAACTGATACATAATTTTTTTCAAAGGATTGATGAATTTGTCAATTTTTAAATATGTAGAAAGATCTTCTAACATTAAATTAATTTTTTAAATATATTTTAATATATATATGAAGAAATTCATGAAAGAATTTCATGAAAAAAAATTTGACGTTTATAATTAAAATTTTAACAGACAATGATTATCCTATAGATTTTATCCTCAAGACAATAATTAAGACGTAAACATTTAATTAAAAAAACAAATTCGTTGACTAACAAGAATAACTCAGAAAAGGTTAAGAAAAAAGGTGATTCTCTATTGCATATGTGCAAGGCATTTCAGATAATTTAAAAATGTATTAGGTGTACAACTTTGTTTCCGCCGTTTTTTTTCCGAAATTCGAGACTTTATTGTAAAAAACTAGTTATACATTTATGATTCAAAGTATTGTCCATCGCTGGCTACTAGTTTCTCCCATCTTTCGGGTAGCGTACGAATCCCGCGTCGAAAAAACTGGTCATCTTTTGAGGCTATCCATGAATCGATCCAATTTTTTATTTCTTCATAAGACCGGAAGTGCTGGTCAGCCAGGCCATGTGCCATTGATCGAAACAAGTGATAGTCAGAGGGAGCAACGTCTGGAGAATACGGCGGGTGGGGTAGGACTTCCCATTTCAACGTTTCCAAGTATGTCTTGATCACTTTCGCAACATGATATCGAGCATTGTCATGCTGCAAAATCACTTTATCGTGTCTCTCGTTGTATTGCGGCCGTTTGTCTTTCAATGCTCGACTCAAACGCATCAATTGCGTTCGATACCGATCGCTTGTGATTGTTTCAGTCGGTTTTAACAGTTCATAATACACTACGCCGAGCTAGTCCCACCAAATACAGAGCATGACCTGGACGTCAAAATCACCGTTCTTGAAGCGTTGAAATCTCGACACGTTCTTTCACTAATAGCGGCCTCACCATAAGTATTTGAGAGCATTCGATGAGCCTCAGCCGCAGATTTCTTCATATTGAAGCAAAAAATTAAAACCTCCCGCAAATGACGAGAATTTGGCTCGTAAACTGACATTTTCAATCGAGAATAACTTTATGATGCAGACACAAATCGACTAATATTTCTATGAGATTATGTTGACAGATGCCCAAGTTTATTGTATGATGTCTATGATCTATTTATTTCGACCACCACTTACCGCTAAAGCCATCTATAGGAAAACGGCGGAAGCAAAGTTGTGCACCTAATAATTAATGGCGATGTACATAGAACGGCATTTTTCAGTCTAAATAAATTAAATAAATTTGTAAAAGTTCATAAAGATCTGACTCCTGAATTAAATAAATTTGTAAAAGTTCATAAAGAACAAAAAAGAAACGTCGTTTATAAAATAAACTGTAAGGATTGTGATGCATCCTACATGGGTCAAATAAAGAGGAAATTAATTACAAGAGTAACAGAACACAAAAGTAATTTACATAAAGGTCCTAATTCTTATTCTGTTATCACTGAACACGCTTTGCATCACAGTCATAAATTAATTGGGACAATACAGAAACTCTGGACGAAAAAAGATATTTTAACAAATGATTGATTTCAGAAATCATAAATATAAAACGAGAAATAAATGGTTTCAATCTTCAAAAAGACACAGATGGTTTAGATCGAACATATAATGACATTCTTAATAAATGTAAATAAATTTAGATTCAACTTACACAATGACAACATCGTTCTATTTCTTTTAGTATCTATTTTAAAAACATTTTATTTACTACATTCTTAGACGTAAAATAGTTAAGAACATTCGATACATGATGACGATTTTTAAGTTTCATCACAATATGTTTTATATAAATCTTTTTCATTTACTCAATATTGTAATTTAACTCCAGTGTTATATAGGATTGAGGTAAGCACTTTTTTTGTACAATTTCAATGTTAACTTTACGTAATTTTAACTCTTAATAACTTTAGAACGCAATCACTTATTAACCAAGAAGACAGGCAACTTCTTTGTACGATGTTTGTGCTTTTTTCACTTTCCGACAGGATAGAGATAAGAAGATATTCTTTGTTAATGTATTAATTATATATTTGCTAAAGATGGCTAAAACCGATAGCCGAAACGTTCAAACTAACATCTTTTAATATACATTATACTATTAATGATTATATAGATTGCGCACCTCTTACCACACTGACTTCAAAATAGTTCCCTTAAATCTGTATTATATTTTTACAATTATAAGGAATCTTATTTTATAAATATATATTCTTTATTCTAAATTGTACATACTTTTACTTTACCATTCATAAACTCTCTAATAATATTTGACGCGCTTGTTGATCGTATAAAATATTCCAATGGGTAGTCATTATTCAGCAGAGTATCATTTTCAAATTTTTTTCGTGAAAATGTGGATTTGACATAAAACAGAATTATGTAAAAAAAAAAAACATAAAATGATACCTTTCTTGTATTTGAGTGGAATTAAAATTTAGATACCGTCCTGAATTCGGTTTTTTATACAAGTCAGTTTTTTATACAAGTTCGATTTTTTATACAGGTTGATACTTCCATTATCAATCAATGATCTAATATTTGGGAAACTAATTCATCATCGCCAACTTCCTAGTAAACTTTAATCTCTCGTGACAAGTGAAGTATTTTAAAATTTCCTGATGCATTTTAGCCACATTAAGAACAACTTTTAATTAGTTAAAAAAATTGAGTGGCATGGAAATAGAATCGCAACATAAATTAGTTTCTTTTGATGTGACTATTCACATCAAATGTACCAACTGAGCATTAAACAGCATAAGGATAAGATGGCTTTCTATTTCAAAGTCTACTAAAAATACCTATTTCTATTAGAATACTTATAAATGAATTCTTAGCTGCATTATCAAAATCAAGTAATTTGTTTTATAAGTATCCACTTTTTGTATCATGAATATTTAAGTAAATTTATAAACTATAGAGAGGATAATAATCAGTTATAGACTCAATAATCAGTTATCTTTTCTACAGTTTATAAATTTATTTCAACATTTGTGGTACAAAAGAGGATACTTACAAAATAAATTATTTGATTATGATACAAGAGAAATCACTTGATTTTGATAATCCAGATTATTGTTTCAAAAATTGAGAAGCTATCTGTGCATTATGTATCAAAGCAGTCGTAAACTGCGCTTGGCCTACAAAATTTTTGTGTACAAGATTTTTTTTGAATATTATTCAAATTATTCATATTCTATATTCTATATAATATTATTATATTCTATATAATATTATTCATATTTCTGCAAAGAGTATATAATATAAAAATAAAAAAATTGATATAAGTGAAAAGTAATGTAAAAACAACAATCCATTTTTTGGATTCCTTGTTAAAAAAAATATACATTTCAAGTACGATGAGTTTGTTTGGAGCAATCCCGAGCAGTTTCCGAAAGATAAAAGAAACAATACTATAACTTACATTCAACAAGTCACCATATTGAATCCATTATTTTGAATTTTATAATTTTTACACTGGATTTGCTTTTAGAAAACATAAAACTTCTTATTACAATCTATCTCCAAAATTCAGAATTAGCTCTTTATAATAAGATAAAATACAAGATACTAAGTGTTCGTTTCTTATCACTATAAGAAATAATTTGCATCTTTCAATCTGCATGATTGTTGATAAAAAAAATATGTGTCTATTATTTTTGTCGATTCTATAAATATATCAAGTTTAAATTCAGCGAATCATAGAAAGATTATTTTAATGTGAGAACCAGTAGACTTAATGCTCCTTTCTTCAAGTATTTACTTTCTTTATAGTTTCAGAGATTAGTTTGGAGAGATACAATGGTTTTTATGATGACTTTTGTATTAATGATTAATTATCAATATGTTTGTTTCCTAAAATGCACTTAAATGTCAAAAATAAAAATTGTTAACGCTGTCAACTAACCTTACATAATTGCCTAGCAAGGTTATTGTATCCAAGTTTGATGATACCAACACGAGCAAGTGAAGCCATTTTTTTTTATTGTTACAAGCACAACTTTAAACGGAAAGAAAATTGGATATTACTTGCTATAAATTAACGCGTGAGAAACACATCGCTGGATGTAATACTCTTCTCGTTTCTTAATTCTGTTTCACTTATTTGTCTGTAACCAAAGAATAGCGAGATCAATAGTCTGTTTTCTGTTCCTGCACTAGACTACTCTAGAACTCTCTTTCTCGCTTTCAACAAATATCAAACTATCTCACTTTAAGTTCTAAAAGTGTAAAGTAGTTCAACTACTGAAAATAGATCTCAAGGACTGCGTTCGGAAATATTACCCGATTGCCTTTGTCTTGTTTTATCCTTCTTATTCATCCAATGTTAAACAAGGATAAGATGATGGCACCCAGGTGATATTTCCGAATGTAGCCAAGAATGAAAGACTCACGACTCTCTGATCAGGGTATCAATCATGAAACTTTATCCCTAGGACAAAAAGTGAAAATTTTTCACTTTTCACTTTTCATTCTAGGAAAAAAGTTTCATGATTGATACCCAGAGTCTGGAGGTCTGGCCATCTTCTCTCCGATTTGGTCCGACATTTTTCATCTACTCCATTTAAATGCATAAAATGGGAAGACTCCGATTGCACAAATTGCATGTTGTACACATCGCTAATTGGCAATTTTAAAAAGTAAAATATTCTCATTGGTAAAAGCATTAAAAAATTATTAAGTACCCTAGCTAATATACGTGGTTAGGGATAAAAGAACCAATCGCTCCGTGAGTAAACTGTATTCCGAAACCCATCGAAAAAAACTGTTGCAACTTTTTCATGACTGTACCACAATATAATTAGTAGGGACAACATCGCAAAAAAATGCGGTTTCGCGCAAATATGACTGCGCAACTTTTGTTTTGAACCAGATCCAATGAAATGCAAGATGATGCAGTAATATAATATACAGCCGGTCACAGAAAGGGTGTAATATATTTCTTTTTTCAAAAGAACAGGCCTATGATCATGCACCCCATATGTATTATATACAGAGAAAAAGACAGTTCATGGGAGATGTTTTAAATATGAAAAAATGGATAAAATAAAGAAAAGTTATGTTACGTGCAGTATTAACCAAGCCAGCTAATTGCGTGAACCGCTTGAACGTGTTAGAATGTTTGTCAAGAACTATGAAGCTTGTAGAGCATCTCTATATAGAGCAATGCATGAATAGAGATCCTATAATAAGAGCTTGGCGAATGTAGATCAAAAATAGCAAATAAAAAAAGATAATAATTTCTCATGCATGCGTAAAAAGTGTTAGAATATGTGACAGGCAATATGTGATGACAATACTTGAAAATCAATCGAATTGATCAATTGGTCGAATTGTACAATTGTAATTTGTAAATTTTTTTCTTTGTCCAAAATCTCAGAATAATTTCTAACGTCTTTGATAGATTTTATTCATTTGTAGCTATCTATCTTTTTTTTTCTTCATACTGGACGCGGAAACGCTTGCCGCGTAATAAAATAAGACGCAGTAATCAAGTACCATATGTAGAGAGAAACTATAATCTTATTGGCTACCGCGCGGTAAACGTTTCCGCGTCCAGTGTGCAGGAGCCATACATACATTGATTCTACAATGAGTCAGTAATCGGTAGTCCTAAGTCTTATCGATGAAGTTGGCCAATAATCACCTTGTATGACTAAGGCTGATTGGTCAAGACTAATGGCTTCTGCACATTGGACGCAGAAAGATTTTTTTACCGCGCGGTATAATATAATGCAGTAACCAATAAAATTATAACTCCTAACATGTTCATTGGTTATCACATTTTATTTTAACCAATGAAAACATTAGGAGCTGTAAGCTTATTGGCTATCGCATCATATTTTGCCGCGCGGCAAGTGTTTCCGCGTCCAGTGTGCTGGAGAGCCATAAGACTTCTGACTATTGACTCATTGTAGAATCAACATAAGGCCGATATTTAGTCGGTTCTTATTTGAAAACCATCAAGTCGCTTATGCGGTCCTTTGATTGGCTCATGACATCTTTAGACTGTAATTAAGACTTCATGGTTACTTCAATATAAAATCCGATTATGAATACCGGCCTAAGAGTTAGGGTAAACAGCTGCCATTAATAGTTAAATACTACGGAGACTATAGATGAATAGCCAAATACTACAGAGACTATAGACGATATACAGAAAATATGGGTGCATTAAGTATTACAACCGCTCACTAAACGTTCAGTGAGCTCTTATATCTGTTTGGTTTATATTTTTAGCTCTAACAGAATATAACAATCAACGCGTACATGTAGCATGATTATACAAACTAAATATCGATTTATTATTTCTAGCCTTGAAAAATGCACGATGGATACTCTAAGAAAAGTGGACATTGCTATGTAGGTTACTGAACTGTACTTACATATGCCCTTGGTGCACTTTTATGTATTAAACTTCTACAGCAAATAAATCCGTATTAATAAACTAAAAAAACAATATAAATTAAACATTCATACATATTTTTTTGGTCATAAATGAATTAATTACAATTTAAAAGCATTGATTTATATGCTTGACGGATTCATTTTCAAATAAAGTATACAAATCCATTCATTTGAAATGACCGCGTTATACGTCAAAATGGATGCGAGTATTTTATAGATCTATGATCTGTTTTCTGTTCCTGCACTAGACTGTTTTAGAACTCTCTTTCTTGTTTAAAACAAATATCAAACGTATCTCACTTTAAGTTCCAAAAGTATACACTAGTATTCAGCAGAAAACCTTTTTATACATAAGCTTACAGCGCCACTGTAGCGTAAGATAAAATAAGAATAGCACAATTTTTCTCTCACGCACAATTTCAATAAAAAATGGTGGTCTCTTTAGGTGGCCAGATTCTGGTTAAGGGTCTCTACGCGACCCTAAGATCATTAGATTTTTAGAAAGTACGTAAATTTGCATCCATTTTGAACGAACGCGGCCATTTTAAATTTATGCATTTGGATATACATACTTTATTTAGTTAGTTAAAAAAATAAAGCTGTCAAATACATAAACAAGTTTCAAAATTGTAATTAGTTTATTTAGGACCAAAAAATATATATGAATGCTTAATTTGTGTATTATTTAATTTAATATGGATTTATTTGTTGTAGAAGTTTAGTGCATAAAAATGCACTAAGAGATATATAAGTACAGTTTAAAAGATGAACCACCAACCATCATGCTTGAAATCCATGTATTTATATGCATTTTGACCATTTAGATGCAATATTTCTGAAATCAATTGTGCTATCAGAAAAAAACTTGAGAGAAGACACGACGTGCATGTCCAAAATTTGTAACCGCAAAATGCTGTCGCGCATTACTGCCCTTTGAAAAAGTGGATGTAAACTACATAACAAGATCCATTTTTCTGAGAATGCACTTTTCAAGGCTGCAGATGATAAATTGATATTTGATTCGTGCTACATTCACAAACTGTGAATCAGAATAAAAAAACTGTGGATTAGAAATATTCATCTCTGCAATCTTACGTGATGTTATTCCGCTTAAAAGTATTAATACTAAAGTTATATTACCCCTATTTTTACAAATATGCTAATATTTATATTTCAAATAATAATAAACTATATAGGCGAAAATAGGTATTTCAAGCATTTTATTTTTAAATATATTTTTATAGTTTATTTACTTTATTTGTTATTTTCTTATTATACTAAAATTTGAAAAGCGTATAATGACAAAATTAACTAAACTTTTTTGTGTAAGTATTTTAAGTATTTAAAATGCAATTGTAAGATTCATTGCGACGCAAAAATTAGTGTTTTATAAAAGGAATAATATATTTTGTTAACAATAAAATAAATTAAAAGAAGAATTGATGAATCAAGCTAATTAATTACAAGCACATTATATGTGCTTGATGACTAAACCATCGTTATATTTTTAATTTTTGTATTTCATATATGTATATCTCAATGTAAGCTAAACATAGACTATAGTTATATGTATTATATATATTTTATATGTATTATTTTATTTATATATTTATATGGGATATAGAAGTAAAGTGATATATGGGAAGGCTTTGAGAACGGACAAGGTATGGATGTATGAATGAATTAAGAATTTTATTTTAAACCAAGTTCCCTTCTTGGCTGTAAATACGCTGAAGTGTAATAAATTCTATTCTATTCTATATATTTTTACGCAATTTTTCTTTTGCTATAGCTGCTAAAGTCTAGATAGAATATTAACATATTGACGTGCATGCGTGCGTGCATGCATGTACATATACAAGATCTCAGTATATATTAAGTTGTTCGGAAAGTTCGTTTCAAATTTTGTTAACCCACAATTGTATGTACATCTTCGTTAAAAATAAACGAAATTTAAATTTAGAAAAAGGCTTTTGAAGCTTGAAATTTCTATTTTCAAAAGCTTACTATATTTTAGTAGAAGAGTTTATGCGAGTAATTTTGTAATTTTGACATATAGCTCTTTAAAACGAGTTGAAAAAAGTGAAAAAATTTTTTCTCACTTTGTAGGTCACGTGCTCAAAACAAATTTGCGAAAATTTTCTATTATCTATTGTAAAAATTTGAAGTTTTCGCTACAAAACTTTTTTTAAATATTCCTACAATTTTTTTATTTGAATTAAATAAAAAGAAACAATCTGACTTGGATTATTCATTATTCTGACAAAAATCATCATAAATTATAATTAAAAAACCAGATTTCAAAAGCTGGAATGTTGCTTTATCGAATGATATAAATACCAATTAAAAAAAAAATAGAATATATAAGCATTTGAGCTAAAAATATAATATTATTTTCCTTCTATTGCGTGATTACAATGAATGATTACAATGAAAGTATATATTTTTAAATTTATACAGTAAAATTTATATAGTACCCTCCATAACTTTGGGAATATCCTACGTTTTACAGGTTTATAAATAATTATTCAATTGAAAAAAGATGAAATAAAAGTACATACATAACGT